GGCAGGGCTGTGTCCCCTCAGACCCTCAGGGGCAGGGCTGTGTCCTCTCAGACCCGCAGGGCAGAGCTGTGTCCTCTCAGACCCTCAGGGCAGGGCTGTGTCCCCTCAGACCTTCAGGGGTAGGGCTGTGTCCCCTCAGACCCCCAGGGCAGGCTGAGTGAGTGTCCCTCCCCAACCTGGTTTTCTCCCCACAGGTTCACCCACACTTTCCCTCCCCAGCTGCCCCTGCACCTCGTGAAGTCCACGGAGGTCAATCCCACGGACCAAGGGGAGAGCCAGCCCAGAGCAGAGCTCCTGAGAGCAGGTCCTGGCTACGCCTCCCCACACCAGACCAACGTGAGTATTGGGGTTGCCTCCCTCAGGACGCAGGGCTGGCTGCCAGGAGGCCTTGTGCTCACCTCAGGGCCATGCTTGCAGGGCCTTTCAGGGGGGAAGGCTGAGGAGCTCCTTGAGACCCTGGAGGCCTGGCGCCCGCTGAGTGAGTCCCCCTCCCCATCAGTGGCTCTGGGTGCCCAGCTGAGCTGTGAGGGTGGGCAGCCACCCTGGGGTGGGACCCTGTCTGCCAGCGTCACAGCTGGGTGTGAGAGTGAGCTGTCTGCTTCCTTTACAGCCCCGCACCTCGCAGGCCTGGTGCCCTGTGTCCCCTCATTAGTGCTGCCCACGGACAGGAAGCCCCCGCCACCCGCATTGGTACCCACCCCAGGCCTGGCTCAGGGTGTCTGCGTCCCCTCCACCCACTCCTACATGGAAGCCACGGCCAGCTCCCGTGCCAAGATGTCACGCAGCACCTCCCTCAGGGACCGTGCTGGCCCTGTCCCGGCTGAGCTGGCCGGGCCCCTCTGCAGACCCTCCTCCATGGGGGAGCTGGCCTCTCTGGGCCAGGAGCTCCAGGCTGCCACCACCACGGCAGCCCCCAGCTCCGGCAGTGAGGGCCGGGAGCCTGCGCTGCGCCCCCGGGGCAACCATGAGGCCCGAGCCAGCCTGAGACTGACGCTGTCGAGCGTCTATGACAGCTTCCTGCTGCCCCCGTCCCCAGTGGAGGCATCCAGCACACACGCCCGCTCCCAGGAGCCCGTGGCCACCCAGCCCTGTGCCGCAGTCACAGCAGCCAGCCTCCTGGCCCCCAGCCCCGTGAACACGAGCGCCCTAAGGCTTCCCGACCCCTCCTTTCTCCCAAGGCTGCCTGCCCCTCAGCCCCTCAACCCTCCCGCCCACCTCAGTATCTCCCAGCTTCCGGAGAGCAGGCCAGGAATGCCCGGAAGCACTGCCGCCTTCCTGGAGCCCACTCCTGGTGAGTGCCACCCTGGGAACAAGGGGCTGTTCTCTTCGCTCATCCTGTGCACCAGCTGGCCCAGCTGCAAGGGTGGGCGCCTGTCCTGGCCGCAGGGCCCTTGCGGTGCCTCATCTGCTGAGTCACTTGACAAATAGTGAGCACTTGGCGCACGCCGGGCTTCGTTCGCAGCCCTCGAGACGTGGGACGCAGCGGTAAACAAGACCACAGACACATCTGTCCCCAGGGAATTGGTATCTTTAGTTGGGGGAGACAGCGGGACAGAATCTGTAAGGCAAGCGCTGAGCGTATCGTAAGGTGGGACAGGCTGAGGAGAGAAAGAAAGCAGAGGAAGGCAGTGAGGGGTGGCGGCAGTGGCTGCAATTCAGACAGGATGAGAAACTGAGGAGAAAGTGGCGTTTGAGCAGACAGAGTGAGGGCGTTCCAGGCAGAGGGACATCGAGGCCAGCAGGTGGGGTCAGCCCAGCTGGAGTGTAGAGGCCTCGTATTCCCTCCTCTCTGCTGCCAGATGCGCTCAGTCTGCTCCGGAGCAGCCCTGGACGCTGGGAGGAACCCGGGCTACCAGCTGGGGTCCTGCCCCCAACGCCCCTTGAGCTGAGCGGCATGACGACCACTGTGCACAGGCTGCAGACTGCCTTCCGAGAAGCCCTTGACCTTTACCTTGTGGTAAGCTGAGCCCCAAAGCCGGGGGGAAGGGCTGGAGGGCCACCGGGACCGCCTGGCATGGGAGGCCCCTGACAAGGCTGACGCCCCTCACAGCTGCTCTCCAGCGGCCAGGTCAGCGCCGAGCAGCAGCAGGCCCGGACTGAGCTGGCCTCCACCTTCCTTTGGATCCACAGCCAGCTGGAGGCCAACTGGCTGGGTGGGACAGAGATGGCCCCAGCCCAGGCCCTGCCCAGCCCAGGCCCCCCCTCCCCACCTACACTCTGCCCCCTGCCCAGCCCAGGCCCCGCCTCCCCACCTACACTCTGTCCCCTGGCCAGCCCAGATTTGCGGGCCCTGCTGGAACACTACTCAGAGCTGCTGGTCCAGACCGTGCGGAGGAAGGCAGGCGGGGACTGAGGCCAGCAGCCCTTCCACCGCAGCCCTGCTGCTGCTGAAGAGAGAATGTATTTTAAGCAAATAAACTGACAGCGTAGAGGAAGAGTTCCTGGTCTGTGTCCGGCCCCTCTACAAAGCCCCCTACAGGTGGATGCAGGGTGGGTGGAGGGTGACACTCAAGTGGACCAGTCCGGGGGACTCATGTTTGCCCCAGTGCCAGGCCCGTCCCAGGACTCCAGCACTGGGGACACGCAATGCTGATGACCCAGGGCCTGGCCTCCCACACCCCTTGTCCCTGCTCCAGTGAGGGGATCCTGGAGGCTCATTTATGGTCCTTGCCCAGGGAAGCCCAACTCTACCCCAGGGAGGAGCTGGCCCCTCTTCCTTGCCCCCTACTAGTACCCAAGAGCCCACAGGGACTACTGTAATCACATGTGCCCAACCCTGCCCACCAGTACATGTGTTACCGCGTCACTGACTCATGGTCCCGGGCCAGGCCCGTGCTGGATTCTGCGTGGTCTGGGTTGTTGCTGTCCTCCTCTGTGGCAGGGCAGACAGGAAAGACAAATGGGCTTACCCACTGGACATCCCAGCAACCTGCGCCAGTCCACCCTGAAGAGCTGTGCCAGGCCCCATGAGCTCCCAGCACTGGCCTCAGCTCTCCAGGCACAGTGTTGTATCTACTAAGAAGGGTACTCGTGACCACAAAAGCCCCCGCTATCCCAAGTCCCTACAAAAAGGAAGGCCACTATGGCCTAAAGCACAGCCCCACCATGCGGTTTGCTGTTGTCTAAACCCCCACATGCCTGCAAGTTCCCCTGTTCTGTTTGGTGATCATGGTCCACCAGAAACAGGTTCAGAGAAGTCCAGTTTCTTGCCCAGGGTCCCACAGAACTGAGACTCGAACCTAAGCTTGCTTGGTGGCAGACCCTCCAACACAGGACACTGCCCTCTGCTGCCCCCACAAACATGTGATGCACATCACAGCCAATCATATGTTCTTCAAAGACCCTGCCGGCCCCCAGATGCCTACCAGCGTTCTACAGGCTAGAAGCAGAGTAGGGAACAGAACAGGCAAAGTGCCCTCAGGGCATTTGCCTTCTAGAAGCTAAACAAACATGGGAAATAAAACTCTGTTTGACCTTCACATTTAAGGCCAGTTGATTTTCAACAAGGGTTGCAAGACCATCCAAAGGGAAAAGAACAGTCTGTCTCTTCAACAGATAGTGTGGGGGCAATTAGACAGCCACGCACAAAGAAGCAAGTCAGACCCCTACCTCACACCATATTAAAAAATGAACTCGGAATGGATTAATGACCTAAATACAAGCGCTAAAATGTTAAAACTCTTAGAAGAAAACAGGAGTAAATCTTCGTGGTCTTGGATTTGATGGTGGATTCTTAGATATGACACCAATAACACAAGAAACAGAAAAAAAAGATAAATTGGACTTCATCAAAATTAAAAACTTTTGTGCATCAAAGAGCACTAAGACAGTGGAAAGACAACCTATGAGACTTGAAAGCAGGAATTAAAACAGATCCACGTACACCAACGTTCACTGCACCACGCACAACAGTCAAAAAGTAGACACAACTCGAGTGTCCGTCAACAGATAAATGGATAAACAAAATGTGGTATATGCACACAATGGAATATTACTTCATCCATAAAAAATGAAATCCTGATACTGCCCCCAGAGGCACGAACCTTGACATTCTTCTAAGTGAAGTAAACCAGACACAAAAAGACAAATACCGTATGGCCCCCCTTGCGTGAACTCTCTAGAACAGGCACATGCGTAGCCACCACAGATTAGTGCTCACTACTGGCCGGGAGGAAGGGGGGTGGAGAGCTCCTGCTTAACAGGGAGAGTTTGTTTGGGGCGATGAGAAAGTTTTGGAAATAGTGATGGTTGCACAACGTACATATAATGAAGGCCACTGAATTGCACACTTGAAAACGGTTAGAGATTATTAGTGGGCGGGAGAGGGGAGAGGGAGAATCCTGGCTCAGGGAGCACTGAGTTTCTGTTTATGCTGATGGAAATCTGGCCGTGGATATTGGTGACGGCTGCACA